ATACTGGAGAGCTTTTGACCTGTAACACAGACTAAAACTCCAGCCCCTTGATTAGTCATGTAATAAAGAAACATTCCAGCATCCTAATATGATACCCCCCCATTCCAATCATGACTCAGTCCCTGTATCTCAGAGCCCTGCCGTTCCAAGGTTGTATAAGTTTACATATTCTTTTATGTACTATACCTTTAAATACAGAGAGTTCTCATTTACTAGAGAATTTTTCCCTGTGAAATTATAATCTTGTGTGAAGTTCTTTCATTTCTTTGACATAACCTAAAAATATTTATTAGTTGCATACTAAGTTTCTTTCAATGTTATTGTTGTTGTTGTTAGGTGCCATCAAGTCAGTACCGATCCATAGCAACCCTATGCACAGCAAAATGAAACACTGCCCGATCCTGGGCCAACCTCACTGTTGTTGCCATACTTGAGCCCATCAATGCTGCCACTTGGCCAAAACAATGTTATAGTTTCTCTAAATTGTAAGGAAAGTCTGTGCCTATTCCACAAAGCCTGTATCTATTCGGAAAAATAGAAATGACACACGAAATAAACAGCAAATAAGGAACTAAAATAGATCATGCTTGAAAGGAATACTTCCTTAGACCCTTATAAATGTCTTTATTATATAAAATTAATATAATAATTATGCATGGTATCACAAATGCAAAATTAACAGAGCTATATCCAGATGCAGTTGTTGAGTTCCAGCTAGGTGTGCTAGAAGATAAATGCCTGAGTACTATATACTACTTTCTTAAAATGCATAATTCCAATTTATACTTCCCTTAATTACTCTGTGTCATTTACACCTGGGGTTCTCCTAAATAATAAAAAATATATAAATTATTGCTAATTCCAATCAATAATTGTACATTGTAGATACTGTAGGAGTCAAAGACATGAATTAGGTTGGATTGAAGTAGTTGAGATAGCCTCACAGATTTTGAAAATATATTAGAAGCCATCTATTCCCCCAGATAATACTGGCACCGTTCTATATTAAATTCTTTTCCATTAAGTAATCATCTCTTCTTAAATATCCCTATAAGAAGTTTTATCACTTTCTAAGTGATCCTCTTCCTCTGAATACTGATTATTAGAAAGCTTAAATCTCTCACCTCAGATTTCCTCTCAGTGATTTGTGGTTTTCCCTTTTGGAACAATACAAAACATTCTCACTATTCTTTTTAATATAATATATACTATGTATTATTGGTATATAGCAATTACGTCTCCTCTGCTTCCTGCTCAATGTTGCTTCAGTTTTATAGTTTGGTTTTGTATTTAATAGTTTTGATGTGGTATGATTTACCTAGCTCTCATTATTTAATTGTTCTCTGCATATGATAGTTGATGTCTAATTCATAATTTGTCTTAAATCTTTGAATTGAATACTAAATTCTGCTCTACAGTAATCTGTCTCTCAAGATCAAGAAGCAATCATGAAGCACTTATGTCTCAGCAAAGACATTTTTCACCGTACCTAGAATATTCTGTTCCTAAAAAGGAAAGTGTTAATTGTGAGAGTAAGTGAATCACCTAGGGAAGCCTTTTCAATACTAATAACCATGCAACTGAGCAGATGTTGAAGGGTGAGTGCAAGCAGTTGAGGACATCTCAGAGAGAACTATGATAGTGAGCAGTTTGGCACAGTAGGCATGCAGATGATATGCTAGGGAAAGCAGGAGTTCGAAAATGGAAGGTTAATTAAACACAGATCATAAATTTCTTTATATGCCACAAAATGTTATTGAGTATATACATTTGGAAGCTATAAATGGCTTTTAAGCAAAGCTGTGAGATGGCATGAGTGTATGAGGGGTTTTAAAAAGTTCATGGAAGAATAGAATTTAAAGATAATGACATTTTTAAACAAACTTTTTAAAGCTCCGTTCTAGAGAGATATTATAAGGATTGCTTTATAGTTGTGTAAGGTTGAGCTAAGGAGCTCTGATAGCATAGAGGTTACGAATCAGGCTGCTAATCTCACAGTCAGCAGTTTGAAACTACCAGCTGTTCTGCTGGAGAAAGATGAGGCTTTCTGCTCCCCTAACGATTTACAACCTCGGAAACCCTATGCAGGGTCACTATGAGTCGGAACCGACTCCACGGCACATAACGAGAAGAAGAACAAGGTTGAGATGTGAACATTTTGTAGTACCCTAGACAAGAATTGAGACCCTGAACACAGAACATAGGCTATTGTGAAAATATTGCTTATTCCCATTTAAACTCATACTTCATTTGTGTAATAGATTTTTAGTATTGCTTTACAATATACAAAAAAAATGAGCTCAGATGATCAGAGAAAGCTCAGTGACCACAAAATGCCAATGTAGACTGAATTGATAAAGGTAAGGAAAGACTGACTGGAAGACAGTTTACCTTCAAAAAGTGTTGTTATGATTTTCATTTTTCTGTGATTATGTTAGATGTTTATATTTAGTCTTTGAAGACAAAGTCCTTGGATGTTCTAATATTGAATATTTCTATCTTTGCTTTTGACAGACCAACCAACAATTTCTGAAAACAGTAACTGAACAAAATGTGGAAATTGAGCAACTACGCAAACAACTTAGGTATTTTAAAAAATGAGTTTAATTATTTTATAATAAATTATTTTTCTTCTAGTCAGCTGATAATAACAAACTTTTGGGGGGTGTTTTTTCCTACCTTTTTATTAAGCTTCTCTGCACATAACCACCACCACCATCAATATATATGATTGATCAGGTCCTGGTTAAGGATGCACCATGATATTAAAAATACCAGTTAGGGAAGAAAATAAATTCTTTTAGAAGACTTTTAAAAATTAGACTATTTAATACTATATTATACTTTTGGTTTAATAATTATTCATTAATAGACTTCAGAGTAAAATATTAAATTACCAAATATATTTTTTAAATGAGATCTGTGCTGTAGTCATTTAAATATGAAATTATCAGTTGTTAAATAGTATTTTGCTGTTTCTTTTCTATTTTTCTTAATGCCTCTTACTTTGCCTTATAAAATAATGTTTTGCTTTTGAACTTATTCAAGAATTTTTTTATACCACTTTAAAAAAATTTTTATTTTACTATCTTCATCTGTTACTTAGTTTAAATGAATTTTTTTCTCCAAACATTTGTACTTGTGGGCTCTTATTTGGTCCTTCTTATTTCTTGAGAAGTTATTGATTTTGCTGTTTAAAATGGTAATGCTTTACTTGGTTTCAAGATGTTATTTCTCTTTATTTCAAAACGGAAGTTTTTTTTTTTTTTTTTTTTAGGTAATAAAAGCACTGTTTTGTTGTTTCCAAGTACCATTGAGATGGTTCTGACTCATTGCATAGGGTTTTCGACGTTTACCTTGTGGTTTGCAGTCCAGTGCTGATACTTCAGTACCACATCAGAAGCCTTCAAAAAACTATAGAAAGTATAAAAATATATCAAATGGAAAATGAAAATCTTATTATTTAGAAATAACTATTGTTAACTTTTGACTCTTCGTATGGGTGCTATAGGATAAGTACTGGATTGCTAACCACAAGGTTCAAACGCACCAGTTGCTCTTAGAAAACCCTATACAGGGTTGTTACGAGTCAGAACCAACTCAACAGCATTTAACAACTGTGTTAACTTTAGCAACCATGGTAGCACAGTGGATTAAGTGTTGGGCTACTAATCAAAAAGTCAGCTGTTTGAACCCAATACCAGACCAAGGGAGAAAGATAAAGCAATCTGTTTCTGCAAAGATTTTCAACCTTAAAATTCTGTAGCCAGTACTCAGTATTTTAGGGTTGCTATGAGTTGGAATCAATTTGATGGCGGTGGATTCATTTTTACCTTTGTAAGTACATAACTCAGTTATATAATTGTGTATTTAAATATTTTAGTAAAACAGGGATCGTATGCACAATTTAATAACCTAATTTTTTTCACATTCAGTATATGAACATCATATCAGTAGTACCACTCTTTATATTTTGTACCATTCTATGGATGTTTTTGTTAGTTTCTATCAAGTTCATTTTGATTTATGATGACCTACAGCCACTCCTTGGAAATCCTATACAGGGTTGCTATAAGTTGGAACCAACTCAACGGCACTTAACAGTAAAGCAACAGCAGCAACTTACACTATACTTGTTACTTGAAATTTATTTACTGTTGCACAATTGATTTGGAGTACATGTGTGACTTCCTCTGGCTACACAAGGGTAAAGGAGAATCAAACTCAAAATCAGCCCAAGGTTTATTCCTATGAGACAGAAGTCAGACATAGTCTCCACCATGCAACCTTTCTACCCTATTCTGACACTAACCAGCCCTCCCATAGCATCCTCATGTTGTTAAGTGCCATCAAATTGGTTCTGACTCATAGCAACCCCATATAGCATTTCTCAGGATTGACTGGTGAGTTTGAAATGCAGCCAGGACTCCTTACTTCTCTGATGGGGTTGATAATCCATTGCAGTGGTCACACAGAACTCAGAGACAATACTCATGATTATGGGATTTATTAAGGTAGTGAACAGGATACAATTCAAGATCAGAAGCAACTCAGGATGCAGCAGTTCTCCATTCTGGAACATCTCTTTTCTGCCATACTGTAGGCATGCTTTTGGACTCTCAGCCATGTGAACTCTTGGTCTCTATCCTGTACAGGCAAGTATTACAAAGCTCTTTTAGCCAATCTGTAATACCCATAGGGCACACTCTGCAAGCCAGCCTCCTGGCCTTAAGCACTCAGCTTTCCTTGGCTTGTGAGTTGGGAAGCTTGCAGCTGTTCTGTTTCTTCATGCCACCACTACTGCTGCCACTTCTGTTGCTACTGTATCAGCAAATGAAGGTCCTGAAAGCTGATAAGACACAATTCAAAATGAGAATAAACAACTGCTTACATCCATTAAAAATTTGAACGTGAAATATACAAAGTTTAAATCTAGGAAAACTGGAAGTTGTCAAAAGCTAAATCGAATGTATAAAGATTGATATACTAGGCAATAGTGAGCTAAAATCAATTGATATTGGCCATTTTTAATTAGACAGTCATATGGTTTATTACGCTAGGAACAACAAATTGAAGAGGAATGGTATCACATTCATTGTCAAAAAAAAAAAACAATTAAAAATCTATCTTGAAGTATACTGCTGTCTGTGATAGTATGATATTCATATACCTAGAAAAACTAGTTGTTAACACAGCTGTTAATCAATTTTACCCACCAACCACTAAAACCAATGATAATGTAATTGAAAAATTCTACCAGTCTGAAAACTGATCAAACATAATTTCAAGAGGCATTGGTAATTACTGTTAACTTGAATTTGAAAATAAGAAACAAAAAAGTAAGGTGCCAACTGTGAAACAAACTTGCTCATAAGCAAGTTCGGATTGAAACTGAAGAAAGTTAGTACAAGTCCGTGAGAATCAGACTATGATGTTGATTATAATCCACATGAATTTAGAGACCATCTCAAGAAAAGATTTTAATAGATTAGAGACTAATTGCTGATGATCAACAGAATTGTGGAGTGACATCAAGAACATCAAACATGAAGAAAGCAAAAGATTATTAAAAAGTCGGGGAGTAAAAAAAAAGAAAGGACCAAAGTGAATGTCAGAAGAGACTCTGCAACTTGCTCTTGAATGTGAAAAGTTAAAGTGAATAGACTAAATGATGAAGTAACAGAGCTGAACAGAAAATTTAAAGGGCAGCTTAAGGAGACAAATTTAGATATTATAATGTAAAGTGCACAGAGCTGAAGTTACAAAACCAAAAGGGAAAAATACGCTTAGCATTCTTCAAGCTTACAGAACTAAAGGAAAAAATGTAAGCCTTGGGTTTCAGTATTGAAGGATTCTGTGGACAAAATATTGAATTACACAGGCAGCATCAAATAGGATGGAAGGAATACACAGTCACTGTAATAAAAAGCATTGATTGATGTTCAGTCATTTCAAGAGATACCATATGATCAAGGACTTATAGTATTCAAAAGAGTAAAAGGGGAGCCCACAGAATGGGAAACAATCTTTTGCAATGACATATCAGACAAGGGACTAATTTCTAAAATCTATAGGAAATTACAACAACTCTACAAGAAAAAGACAAATAACCCAATTAAAAAATGGGTACAGGACATGAACAGACACTTAACCAAGGAAGAGATTCAGGCAGTCTACAAATATATGAAGAAATGTTCACAATCATAAGCCATTTGTTGTTAAGTGCCGTCAAGTCGATTCTAACCTATAGCGACCCTGCATAGGGTTTCCAAGGAGAAGCATGCAAATCAAAACAACAATGAGATATCATCTCACACCAACAATAACAGTGAAGTTCAGAAAAAACAGAGGCCAATAAATGCTGACAAGGATGTGGAGAGAATGGGACCCTCCTACATTGCTGGTGGGAATGCAAAATGGTCCAGCCACTCTGGAAAACAGTATGGTGCTTCCTTAGAAAGTTGAAAATAGAAATATCTTATGAGCCACCAATAATTCCTCTACTAATATATAGTCACAAGAAATATGAGCCATAACACGAGTAGATATATCACACCAATGTTCACAGCAGCACTATTTACAATAGCAAAAAGATGGAGAAAGCCTAAGTGCCCATCAGTGGAAGAATGGAGAAACAAATTTTGGTACATACACACAATGGACTATTATGCTACCTTGAACAATAACACAGAACTTGCAAGCCATCACATAACATGAATGAACCTTGAGAACATTATGCTGAGTGAAATTAGTCACAAAAGGACAGATATTACATAAGACCATTATTGTAAAAGCTTAAGAAAGATACTCATACTAACAGGGAAATAAAAAATTCTTTGTTGTTTACCAGAGAAGGGGACGATAGAGCACAGTATAGGGGATAGACACATCATAGTTCAGGTGTTGGGGAGGGCAATACACAAGAAAGGGGAGGGGTCTAGAAGAACAGGGTAGATAGGGGAACACTGAGGCAGTTTTGCATGGGCTAAATGGGACAGAGGTAAATAATGATGTATGCTCAACCTTGGAACAGCAGGGCTCTGTGATATAGGGATTGAGGCATAGTCTGAATGCGTAAAAGATGGAAAATATTGTTAAGATGCTTCACTGTCTTATAAATATTGGTTTCCCTTGCCTACTATTGTAAAATAGACACTTGAGTGGGATAGAAAGCAGTATCAGGAAACATGATTAGAAAGCTTGTAAGCCTGTCTTCAAGGAGCTCTAGTAGTGTAGTGGTTACGAATCAGATTGCTAAGCTTAAGGTTGACAGTTCGAAACTACCAGCTGTTCTGTGGGAGAAAGATGAGGCTTTCCACTCCCATAAAGATTTACAGCCTCGGAAACCCTGTTCAGGGTCACTATGAGTTAGAACTAACTCCACGGTACTTAACAACAACAACAAGCCTATATTCAGCCTGTATCTCATTGGAATATCTAAAAGAGGTTCTAGAAATAGGTTTCTTGTGGAGCCTATGTAGTGTATAATACCTCCTCACCTGAGCCCCATACAGAACCTTCTGAGGTGAGACATTCCCACTTGAAAGGACAAGCAGACCAGCCTGGAATAGCTAGTGGAACAGAA